TTTGTGACAGGATAAGAAACAAGATAACCAAGCTTATTAGAATCTGTGCAAAGCAATAATAAATAGGAGCTCGGATGGGAGTATTGGGGGATGACAGCTAAAAGGTATGAGTTTCTTTTGGGGATGATAAATTTGTTCTAAAATTGATTGTTGTGATGGCTGCACAACTCTGCAAATGTAATAAAACCATTTAATTGCACACTTTAAATGGGTGGATAGTATGTTATGTGGGTTGTATCTCAACAAAGCTGTTTAAAAAGAAGAAGAAATAGAGGCAGGAGCACTAATGTGCATTTTAGTTGCTCAGAAATGTTTCATGCTGTCATTGCTGGCAAGGTTCCAGCTATGTACTTGTGTGGGGTAGGTGAACTCTGGCTGGGTAATAGGATGAGCTTCAAAGTGAGCAAAAGGTAGCTTCTGGGTACCACCAGGCTTTTCCTGCCTTCTTGTCTTTGCCTCCTGACGTTGATTCCATAGATAGTCCACCCCTCCCTCTCACCTTGAGCCATCCCTGAATCCCGTAAAGACCTGGACAACGTCACCTGCCAAGGAGGAAGGGCCCTGTAGCAAGCCATCCATGCTGGCCTCCTGCTTGGGGCCTAGCGTGTAAAAACAAGTGCTTCTCCGAGCAGCCTGGAGCACTGGCTTTCTGGACTTGGCCCCCAATTCTGGAAGGGTGATGTCTGAGCCTTGCTCAGTTCTCACAGCTACTGGGATCCTACACAGCAAGCTACCATAGTGTACATCTTTCTTACAGACCAAGTTGTTCTCCTCTTTTGTAAGAAGATATTTTACTTCCAGGTTCTAGCTTGTGCTTTTACAGTAGACTTAAGAAGAGTCCTTTTTTATTTTTTAATAAGAGAGAAAAAGGAGATGGTTGTAAAAATAAAAAATTTTAAAAGCCTTCTCCAAGCACCAGGAATATCCGGCTTATCAGAGGAGCCAGGGCGAGGGAGGGCTTTTTCCAAACTGGAAGCCCCGTCTCATGTCACAGTTTGAAACACAAGCCCACTGACTGCTATCTAAAGACCTGCTGCTGGCTGCAGGCCTGTGAGCTCCTGGCAGGAAGGCTTCACATCGCCATTTATACTCAGAATGTCAGGGAGGAGCTAGAGATGAAGGGGAGGCTGGGGAGAGGGTTCCTCCACAAACTGGCCACACCTAAACATTTGCATAACGGTACCTCTGCTGAGCAGGGAAACAGAAAGACAGAACTGGGGCTGCACAGCTCGAGAGGACACTGAGACATCAGCCAGGTAGTCCAGGGACCAGGCTGTCACTGGCAGAAAGAAAGCCAGAGGGTAGAGTGGAGCTTTGGCCCAGCTTCCCTCCATCTCATTCAGAAACCAGCAATTAGATCCTGGGGAGCCACACCCAGTATCATTCCAGGGCCTACAGATGGAACCAAAGACCGCAACCCTGACTAACAGTGGGAGAGCCTTGTGGGCAAAGTGTGGGGTTCTGCATTCAAAAGACGTGTGTGTGTGTGTGTGTGTGTGTGAGTGTGTGTTTTAATGCTCCGTTTTAGATGTCTTTTGTTTATTGCTAACTTTTAAAAAATGTTTTAAAATTCACATATATTGCCAACACCATAATAAAAGTGTTTATTTCTTGATAATCTTTTTACATATTTCATTATAATATATGTATATACATTTTACTATGCTTTATTCCAAACCTTTTTCTTTGTTCCCACAGCAAAAGGCATGAGTTTTAGTCCCTGCTCCGTCACTTACTTGCTATGTGTCCTTGTGGAAATTAATCTAACTTCTCTGAGCCTTAGTTTCCTAATCTGTAAAATGGAGGCCATAAGAATATCCGCTTAATAAGATGTGGGGATTACAGGAGGAAGGTAAACTGCACAGCCCAGGTCTCAGCCCACAGTAGGAAGTAGCTGCTGTTCTGCCCGTCTCCACCTCGGCAGCAGGAAGTTGGACAGGGAACATATACATGGGGCTCACTGTGACCCAAGCACTGTCCTAAGCCTTTTAGAGATGTTAATTCTCTCATTCCTCATGACACCTCATGAAAACAATTACTACTACCATGCTCATTTTATAGATGAGGAAGAAACCGGGGCACAGAGAGGTTGCCTAATTTGCCCAAGGTCACAGAGCATACTAGTGAGTGGCAGAACACAGTTGTCAGGGAGCTGTGGCCACCGCGACGCGGTATCTGTGGTGGCAGAGGGGAAGCAGGCGTCTTTCCTCCGCTACACACCCAATGCTCACCAACACGGTCGACTCCTGGGCTGGACTCTGGGGTGCAGTGGGAGCCAGATACACTCCTTAAGGAGCTTCCAATCAAAAGGGGGAGACAGAAGCAAACCAAGGCCACCACAGCCTAATAAGTAGGGACAGAACAACATTTCTGGAGAGGAGTGTGCAGAGAGATTTCTGGAAACCATGGAGCACCATGTGGTCTTGGAGGAAGAAGCCTTCCATTGTGCTGTTAGCCTGGGCATTGATAAGAAGAGGACAATCTCTTTTTACAGAGGTCAGGCCCAGTGTCACTCTGTAATGGAAATTGGAGTCAGAAGCCTCTTATTCCTGGTAATAAAACTGTCAGGGGTCCTCATTACTAAAGATCTAAAATGCTCAATTAATAAGACACAGAAGGTCCTTCAAACCAGTCAGCCCATAAAGTCGCCCTCTGTGAAGCCGGTGTGGTGGGGACAAGGGTCTCTACAGTCAGGCTCTTCTTTGCCCACCAGGGATGACCATGCTGCCGAGCCCAGGGCCACCCCACCTCTCCCAATACAAGGCTGGCACTCAGAGTTGGCCAATGACACCAACAACCCTTTCATTTCATGGGTTCATAGCCCCTCTGAGGAGGGAAAGTACTTATCTTCTGAGTGATGAAGCTCTGTTCTTGCCTTTATTCCAACACTCGACTTTTACTTCCTTTCCAAAAAAGTTAAGGAAAGACTGAACTTCTATGCTACCAAGAAAGGAGAGGACTTGCCTTTAAAAATAAGGAGGTACCACAGGAAGAACCTGAAAGCTGACTAGGTTACAGAAGAGACCCCAGTTCCACTAAGTAAGCTATTGAAGTTTGCAGCGTGCTGGCCAGGCAGGGGCCCAGCTAGGGCCCCACCAGACACTTCATCAAAGCTTTTTTAATCTTTCATTCTGCCCTCCCAGGTAAGATAAACTGTGAGAGGGTGAGGGCTTCCCATCCAAACTTCTCATCAGGGAGCACAAGGCCAGTGTGATCTGAGGCCCGAGGTGATGGCACTTACCCCTTTAACCACACCTCTATCCAACATGGGCTGTGAAGATAGGGGGCCTTTATCCTGGCTCCTCTCTCTGTAAGGCTTTCACCCCACTTTGCACAAAACCGGTTCCTTTACACCCTTTAAGTATCAGCTACAATGTCACCTCCTCCAAGAAACCTTCTCTAACTACCCCATCTGAAAAAGGACTATCTCCTCCCCTACCCCCCAAAACAAACAC